GTCAACTTCATAGCACCCTTGACTATCTTAGCAAACCAATACAAATTTATTGCATCTAACACAATGCAGGTGAAAATCCAGTAAAAGTTTATAAGAAACCCCAAGTTGTGCTGTTCTTCAGTTCCCCAAACTGAATAGCACTTGTAATAGTATATTGGCATTACTAGTATCCTGCAAAGGAAGAATGCAGCCCCCATAAGATAGCCATTGATAACAAAGCCACTAGATGTCCTTGGATGACTAATAGCGTCAAGGAACCACCTAAAAGCAGATATGAAAGATCACTTAAGTAGCTAAGGAAAGTAAATAGGGGTTGGTGAGTGGGGTCTTGCAAAATTTTTGTACCATTTAAATGGTATTGAAGTCTCATCTTTTTAGCAGTCAATGATGTGCTTCTCGCTGTCTCGATTTTTTTCACAAAGCTGTCTTGGAGTTGCAAGGCTAAAGAAGTCTTAAAGTCCCAATTTGTTTGTTTGTTTTAATTTATAAAATTAGTGAAGTCTGAATGTCTTGAGTCTGAACATCTTGTGCTCACATTGAAAAGAATTGAAATTCTTGGTCTCGCAAATTATATTACAGTATATGGTCAAAATGTCTCTTTCTTGCAAAGAAAAATGTTAGTCCCAAATAGTGCTGGGCAGCTGCTCTAAGGGTTATGTATACATATACATTTTACATAATCAATAAATTTTCTATGTATATTACATATCACAGAAGACTGGCAAGTGTGAATTAAACTAACCTCTGATTTACAAATGGTGTGGAAATCTCCGCAAGTTGACGAACATTAGCAAAATAAATTAAAACTCCATAAACCTTAGGAAAGGGAATAATAACAGCAACTCAAAATAATTATTATAATTGTGAGTTACAGTACATGCAACTGCTAAGGACAAAATGGTTCTGATTGGCAGGAAATGCAAGCCTGTGTAAGGTAAAGGTAAAGTCTGTATTGGAGCCAAGTGGCCCACCAGGCCGGAGCTTATCCCGNAACCATTAGGCCACCGCACCTCCCTGTGTAGCAGGCATAAAATGAGGGGGGCGGGGGGAGGAGAGGAAAGCAGGCATGGTTTCAATTCCTCCACCCTTCCCTATTTATTCCTATTATTCAGTCTACAAAAAAAAAACCTTTACAACTGTGTGACAATGTTAATGTCTGTAAAAAGTCTACTAACAAAGCATTTTAACTTGTTAAACTTGTGAAATAAACAAACTTACTACTACAAAATAGTATGCCCATATTGCCATGACATGGTGTACCAAGGTGAACAAATCTCCAATGTACTTGTAAGATAAAGTTATAATGAGGAAATCTGAAAAAAAACAAAAAACAAAAAAGAAGGAAAATGAAATAGAATTAAGAAGACACCCTGTGCATCTAGAGACCTTTAAGGGGTCTCATTCAGGAATACTTTTCTTTCATATTTTCTGTACAACAAACGCGCATTATTAAGTGAACTGATCTCTGTAAAGCAGACCCTGAGATTTTGATAATTATCTTGGAGGCATCTTGCCAAGATCTTGGTGAGACTTCAAGATCTCTGTAATCAGTGAAAACCTTGCTGAGATCTTGCTGTTTTCTTCCAGATCTTGAAATCTCACTAAGATCTTGACAAAATCGTATCAAATATTTTTCATGGGTCAGTTAATTTGGCAATGCATAGTTTACAGGCTTCATTTATTTATGTGGTTAAATTGTATTAACTTACGACTACACTGTACCTGCTAAGATGTAGCCCATTGTTATGGCAACCCCTACTCTCACTAGTACAGCATCATTTCTGAAACAGAATTACAGACTGAAGTATCATCTTCTGGTTTTCAAAAGACTCAGCAAGGACAGCTTTTCAAATAAAACTTAAAGGCAGTACATGTACATCTATTACTCACTTAACAGGATTCAGTGTTGTTTCTGTATCAAAGGCATAACAATACAAGCTAATTGTGCTGACAATCACTGCATGCACATTTGAACCAATCCTATGAGAAACCCAAATCAACAAAAATAAAAATTATTTCTAGAATGACTGACAAATGCACCCCCCCCCCCCAAAAAAAAATAAANGTGGAATTTTCCTGGGGGGAAGGGGTGGGGTGGGCTTCTGTTAGGCCATGATGTGTTAATTGGAATTTCCAGAGGCGTGGGGAAGGGGGACTTTCAAGAAAATCTCTTGTGTGGGGGAGATAAGTATATTTTCTGAGAATAGTCTGCATATGAAACTTAGTTTGCATATGTCACAAAGACATCAGCCGTGTTTTGAAAAAGTAAAATAAATATATTGTATACATTACCTGGTGTCCCAGTCAATTTTTTTGGCATAAGGGAGTTCATGGTATCCTGAGGAGACCAGAGATGAGAACCTTGGGCTTACAAAGTAGAACATAAATAGGCAAAGTAAAAAACTGGCAGCGGAGGTGCAAATGTAAAGACTACGGTCTTTTCCTTCTTGGTGTAGTGATTCATCAACACCTGAAAGAAAACACCACCACTATATGAAGGATACATTTTGCGGAACAGTAACAGTTGAATAGGGAATTCCTGACTAAGTTATACCTTCACTCTCCTTTCACTGTTTAAAAATTGGAGAAAACATGCATTGTGTCTTTGATATTGTTATTTTTCCTTCTGAATCTATTTCATTAGATCCCAATTAAAATCTTTTTTTCAAATTCACATATGAAAATCATATCAACTGTCCAGGGATCGAGGGGGAATCCCATATGAAAAGGCCATGGATGCTACTCAGAAAATTTGAATTAAACTCCTAAAGGAGATCAATCTGGGCGTGGCTCGAGCTTCATTTGACCCCACTATTCAGGAAAGGAGCCTGTGTGCTAGTATATAGGAACAAAAGTGAGGAGAGTCTCAAACGGCAAAAATTTTAAGTGAAAATATGAACCAAAACTGGAATTTACCAGGGGATGGGGGTTCAAACAAAAAAAACCCTCTGTGGGGGAGGGGTATGGATATTTTGTGGAACAGTTGGATGCATTTACTGGTGGTAAAATGCTTAAAAAATCCTTGCTTGATTCACATTTAAAAACAAATCAATAAATAATAATAATAATGATTTTAAAAAAGGCCTACAAAAATTCAATTAAACCCCCGGGGAGGAGAAATAGGGAAGGTTGGCCTCCCCCCTCCCCACCCCCCACTGCCCGACGCGTCCATAGCGCTAGAAAACAGCCCGTGAATATAGCTATTTTAATTTATGTGCCACTGCAATGCACTGTTAAACTCTTTAATATGTGGTAAATCAACAAAGAGAGGCGGCCCAGTGAAGCGATGAATTCCAGAAGCCTCAGTGAGCTTGTACTACAGACAGCAATGACATTCCTACACGCCACAGTTTCGACGAATCACAAACCTCAAACGCGACACAAATGATTTAATTGACTGAAACACTTACCGGATTCGTTCATCCTTAACAATCCTTAACAATACCACTTGAATATATTCGGTTAAGCGTGTTGGAATGTAAGACTTTGAAATCAAAACAAATACTCTTCAAAACACAAAAAGACTCTATATTGTGCGCGAGTGAGTGAGCGTCACGCCAGAACTTCTTGAGCCAGTATATGTCTAGCGGCCAGCGGCTGCATTGAAAAGTTTATGTTCGCACTTTGTGGTAAAACAGAATCCGCTAGTCACTCGTAAACTTTCAGAATTTTCTTGTGGACTGGGAATATGGATTTCTGCTGTATTTCTACAGTAATTCTTTTCTTATTTTTTGTGGTTATACTGCGCGCTGTGTACGTGGTAAAGAGAAGAAAAGGTCATGGTCCACTGGACAGAAGAAAACCTGTGAAAGTCATGGTAGTCGCAGGTTCAGGTACGCCATGTTGCATCGATCGGACTTTTAGATTGATTTTTGCTTTCGCATATATGTATAACGATGTATTGGTCCTAGTCTGCATATGCAATATATTTGCAAGTACCTTGGCATTTTTCCATCCGTCTTACATTTTTGAAATGATGTACTGTACTCAGGACGTAAACAATGAGCCATTCCATTTAATATCCGCACCCTCCCCCCTATTTAGTACGCTGTGTCTCTATGTCCGGCAACCGGACAGGATTTTCAAAATACTCCGTGTGCGGCAGTCAAAATTTTTTTTAAAAAATTCAGTTAATAATGTCAAATCCTTGTTTATATGGCTGAATACTAATTTTCGTGAGCCCGGCACCCGGTATATTGGGATTTATAANTGATTTTTGCTTTCGCATATATGTATAACGATGTATTGGTCCTAGTCTGCATATGCAATATATTTGCAAGTACCTTGGCATTTTTCCATCCGTCTTACATTTTTGAAATGATGTAATGTACTCAAGACGTAAACAGTGAGCCATTCCATTTAATATCCGCACCCTCTCCCCTATTTAGTAGCTTTGAATATGACCCTCGAGAACAGAAGATCGAAGTGCCGACGCACTTCCCCCTTCAGAATTTATAAAAGATCAAAGGCACGCCTGACGTACACAGTTACCCCTTCAGAATCAGTCTTTAAAGACTCCCCCACCCCCCTCAGATTTCTTAGACCCTCAAAAGCATGTGTATGTGTGGAGGGGGAGCGAGGGCAGGGTGGGGGGTTGGGAATGGCCCAATCAATTGATATAAATAAATTTCCAGTTAGTTATTTGGTATGGATTGGCATCACTCAATTGATGACTCAGAAGTGGTTGCGAATGTCATCGATTATCATTGATGCGGACATCCCTTGTGAATAAAATTGTGATTGCATTGCATTTTAGCCTTAAGTTATCGTTCTCCAGCAATGGCTGGTGTTGTATTGTAGCCTAGTTATTTATTAAAATATTTCTAAGGTCATGTACTTATGGATGAATGTTATGAGGGATAACAAGGCCAGTGTAACTACGTAGTTCTGAGCATGTGATTAGGTTGCACACAGGAATTGTGTTTACAATGCGTGGCAATTCTGCATTGCAGTATTGGATACTTGCCAATAGTCTGAATAATGCAGCCCTCACAGTAGCTGCAGCTAGTGNCATTTCGATGAATATCTGAAGTTTGGGAAAACGCAGAGACCCAAAAATTGGAGAAGTGTCTCCTTTACCTGTCTCCTATAATATTAAAATTTCTCGACTGTATCCACTGAATAGTGTTCGATTTATTTTTTCGTTGCGTGACAGTGAAAACCATCTATTATAATTTATGTATTGCAATTTTCTCATGATTGTATAATTTTCATTTAAAGGTGGTCACACAACTGAAGTGATCAGACTTGTGGGTGCGCTTTCTTCTTATTATCAGCCAAGGATTTACATTGTTGCTGAAACTGACAAAATGAGTGCAGAGAAAATTTTTAGCTTTGAAAAGACTAAGAAAGGGAAAGATGAAGAAAGTTCAGAGGTGTGCAATTAATTGCCTTTTTCAATGTATTGCTGTACTTTATGCAGTCATTTTACAAACGTAATAATTTTGTGTTAAATGAAACATCATCTTTATCATCATCATCATCCTCATTGTTATTATCATCATTATTTCATTATCATCATTATCATTGTTATTATTATCGCTCTTTCATCATCATCTTCCAACACTACTTCATCATCATTATCATCAGTATCATTGTCAATGTTCTCATCATCTTCGTTGTTTTCATCATTGTTGATGTAATCTTGCAACCACAAGCTCCCCTAGTTGTGTCCTAATCTTGTAGTCTCCAAGTATCTCTTTGGTTTAGTGTACAGTAGCTCTCTCAATAGCTTTACTGTCTAACCCACTTTTTCACAGTGTATCAAATCTAATTTTGACCAACAAAAATATAAACATGGCTAAACTTAGAGGAGTATGCACCTCTACTCACAGGGCCACATAAAATTATATGACGGTTACTGGAAATCCATCAAGTCAGGGCTCGAAATTAACTTTTTCGTTTGGGAGCCAGCTGGCGACTAACGGGAAAAATTTGGTTGCCAGAT